AGAGAACAAATAACAAATGTTGGTCAGAACGTGGAGAAAAGGGAGCCTTCCTACACTCCTGGTGGGAATATAAGTGGGTGCAGTCACCATGGAAAACCGTATGGAGGTTCCTCAAAAAAATTAAACATAAAACTTCCATTTGATTCAGGAATTCCACTTCTTGATATTTATTCAAAGAAAATGAAAACACTACTTCAAAAAGATATCTGCACCTGACCATGTTCATTGCAGCATTATTTACAGTTGCCAAAATATGGAAACAACCTCAGTGGATGGATGGATAAAGAAGAGGCGATATATATATATACACACATACACACACACAGGAGTATTACTTGGTTATAAAAAAGAACTAGCTCTTGCCAAGCTAAATTCGTGGGCTGAAAGGGAGTTAAGGGCGTCCTCGGCGGTGCAGCAGTAGAGAAAGAATCCCCCTGCACACAGGAGCCACGGGAGATGTGGGCTCGATCCCTGCGTCGGGGAGATTCCCTGGAAGAGGGCATGGAAACCCCCTCCAGTATCTTGCCTGGAGAATCCCATGGACAGAGGACGCTGGTGGGCTATGGTCTATAGGGTCGCAAAGAGTCAGACACGACTGAAGCGACTTGGCACACGCTCACACAAAGGGAATTGCGCTGAGCAAAATGTCAGGCAAGAAAGACAAATGCCATGTGATTTCATTTACATGTGGAATTTAAAACCTGGACAAAAGAGCAAAACAAAATAAAACCAAAACCAGAGATACAGAGAACAGAATGGTGGGTGCTCAGGATGAGGGTGGTGGGTGAGATGTGTGATGAGGCCAAGAGATACAAACTTCCAGTTATAAAGTAAATAACTCATGAGAATGTAAAAAGTATAAAAACCATATTCTACATGCTAGATAAACGTCATAATTTTTTAATTTTTAAAATTGCATGTAAACGTTGGAATATTTTTTGAAACATGGAATTGGAAAAGAGAATAGTCAACATTACTATTAACGTATGTAATATTAAATGGGCATATGTAACTAAGTGAATTAAATTTTATACTAATGTAACAGTTAGATCTACATTAAACTTTATATTTCCATGAGAGCAGAGATATTTGTATATATTATACAAATAAGAATCAGACAGTGTTTGTCACAGACCGGGCATTCAATAAATGCTGACTGAATGAACAACTATATGTAGCTTAAAACTTTCCTTTAATCTCTCACTTGTAATAAATTTTCTTATGTTCAGGATATTATTCTTAACATATATGGTAGTTCCATACTTTCATTGAGTTTGAGGGGTGGATTCATGTGGGAACAAAAATGAAAATAACTTTACACTGCTTAAGATCTGTTTATGATCACTGTAATGATTCTATTATTTCTTAATCTCTCTTTAAAAATGTTAGTACCATTCTCAAAACATCTACGTCCTCTTACTGTGAAACATAAAGTGTGAATTAAAACAATTAAGTTTATTGCATAGAACATACATATTTTATAGGCAAATACTCCAGAAGAAGATAACATAAGCCCTTCAAAACTTACTCTTTTTTTCCTTTGTTGTTTTAATAAAGGACAATGGATTATTCTACATGTGTGAAAGCACTGACTCAAAAAATCTGTGCTGTAACTAGACCTACACACTAAAATTAATGAAGTGAACTGACTTTTAGGTCAACTTCAGGGAAGAATAAAATGTTCTAAGCTATAGTCACCTCAGCAGTAATAAAAAAAGAACTGAAATAAATAGCTTATAAAGACCAAAATAACTCTAAAACTTCCATACTTCTAAGCTACTTGCCAGCATTTCCATGTATGTAAAATGATATTTTTTTGTATAATTTGCTAGTTGTGTCTTGTATGTTGAGCACTTACCTGCTTTAAGCTTGTCACTTACCCAGATTAAGGGTGGATGAGTAATTTCCACTATAAGCCAATCACTATACATTCGGCCTTTACAAGAAGTCTGTGGTTTTTCTTCACATCATACAAACTATAGAGGGTCCTGATCACTAAACTCACTTGTGCATTCAGTTAGTCTGACATACAGTAAGAGAATTGTCAGAAAAATTGAGCAAGGCTGGAATGCCACAGAGCCACTGAAATGATTGCTTTTCACAATATACTGAACTGCTTCCAGGGTGCCAGTCTTAAGTAGGCTCCTATAGAGTGAATACTTACTTTGCCTCAAGGAAAGTTCTGTGCACCACGGGGAATCCAAAAAGAGGAAGGCACAGCCCTGGGACTGGAGTTTGTCCTTTCATATTTGGCTTTTAGAATGTCAGTGACCTTCATGCACATTGAGAAGCAACAGGGTGCACGCTGTGTGGAGTAGTATGCTAGGACTCTGAGAAGTCTTGAACTGGCTGGGAAGATTACACTAAATGAACTACAGGATCTGTCCCAACTCTAAAATTTCATGATACTTTCCCTTTTCCTTCCTTAGATAATAATAGTAATAATAACTCATGCATCCATTCGTAAAGCTGCTGTGCCACATTTCAGGGCTTTGGTCTGCGTTTTTACACGGGCAATGCCTCCTCATACCTGCTGTCCTTAGTAACCTTCAAGAGTCAGATCAAGCATCGTTGATAACCTCACCCCAGGTCCGGATGGGTGAGCCCACTTCTCGTTGGCATGGCAACATGCGCTTGTACGCGCACGCGCGCACACATGGAAGTAGGATATAATAAAGTGCATTTGAATGCCTTATGGGAGGAAAATAAAGCCATTTTCTATTTGTATCATTTTAAATTCAGTGTACATTCAATAAACCAATTTCAGCAACGGTTGTTGCCATAGTTGCTGTGATAGTTGGGGTCCATGGGGCCAGTGATCATATTTCTTTGGTTTGCAACTGCATTTGAGTGCATGCACCACTTAATAAAAACACCCACTGTGGAAAATTCTGAAAGAGATGGGAATACCAGACCACCTGACCTGCCTCTTGAGAAACCTGTATGCAGGTCAGGAAGCAACAGTTAGAACTGGACTTGGACCAACACAACTGGTTCCACATAAGAAAAGGAGTATATCAAGGTTGTATATTGTCGCCCTGCTTATTTAACTTATATGCAGAGTACATCAGGAGAAACACTGGGCTGGGTGAAGCACAAGCTGGAATCAAGATTGCCAGGAGAAATATCAATAACCTCAGATATGCAGAGGTTGCAATTGCAACCTGCATATTGCACATGCAGATATGCAATAACCTCAGATATGACACAACCTATATGATAGAAAGTGAAGAAGAACTAAAGAGCCTCTTGATAAAAGTGAAAGAGGAGAGTGAAAAAGTTGTCTTAAAGCTCAACATTCAGTAAACTAAGATCAAGGCATCCAGTCCAATCACTTCACGGCAAATAGATGGGCAAACAGTAGAAACAGTGGCTGACTTTATTTTTCTGGGCTCCAAAATCACTGCAGATGGTGATTGCAGCCATGAAATTAAAAGACGCTTACTCCTTGGAAGGAAAGTTATGACCAACCTAGACAGCATATTATTAAAAAGCAGAGACATTACTTTACCAACAAAGGTCTGTCTGGTCAAGGCTATGGTTTTTTCAGTAGTCATGTATGGATGTGAGAGTTGGACTCTAAAGAAAGCTGAACACCAAAGAACTGATGCTTTTGAACTGTGGTGTTGGAGAAGACTCTTGAGAATCCCTTGGACTGTAAGGAGATCCAACCAGTCCATCCTAAAGGAAATCAGTCCTGAATATTCATTGGAAGGACTCATGTTGAAGCTGAAACTCCAAGGACTCATGTTTGGCTGAAACTCTGGCCACCTGATAAGAAGAGCTGACTCCTTTGGAAAGACCCTGATGCTGGGAAAGATTGAGGGCAGGAGGAGAAAGGGACGACAGGATGAGATGGTTGGATGGCATCACTGACTCTATGGACATGAGTTTGAGTAAACTCCGGGAGTTGGTGATGGACAGGGAGGCCTGGCGTGCTGTGTTTCATGGGGTCACAAAGAGCTGGACACGACTGAGCAACTGAACTGAACTGACATGATGCTATTGGTAAAGAACCCACCTGCCAGTGCAGAAGACATAAAGACGTGAGTTAGATCCCTGGGTGGGGAAGATCCTCTGGAGAAGGAAATGGCAACCCCCTCCAGTTTCTTGCCTGGAGAATCCCATGGACAGAGGAGCCTGGAGGGCTACGGTCCATGGGGTCACAGAGTCAGGCACGACTGACATGACCCAGCATGGCACAGCACAGCAGAGTATACATGTCAATGCTGCTCTCTCAATGCATCCCACTCTTCACTTCCCATGCTGTGTCCACAAGTCCATCTCCACATCTGTGTCTCTGTTCCTGCCCTGCAAACAGGCTCATCAATACCATTTCTCTAGATTCCATATATATGCCTTAACATATGATATTTGTTTTTCTCTTCCTGACTTACTTCACTTTATATACTATCTACAGATTCAGTGCAATCACTATCAAATAACCAATGGGGTCTTTCACAGAACCAGAACAAAACATTCCACAATCTGCATGGAAACACAAAAGACCCTGAACAGCCAAACGATCCTGAGAAGAAAAATGAACTGGAGCAACCAGGCGCCCAGAACTCAGATTACATCACAAAGTCACAGTAATCGAGACAGTATGGCACCAGCACAAAAGCAAAAACACAGATCAATGGAACAAGATAATAAGATAGAAAGCCCAGAGATAAACCTAACACCCACGGTCACCCCGCCACTGACAAAGACGCAAGAATATACAATAGGAAAAAGAAAGCCTCCTCAACAACTAGAAAACTTAACAGAAAACTGCTAGAAAACTGGACAGCTACATGCAAAATCACACCCCATAACACCACACACAAAAATAAACCCAAAAGGGACCAAAGGCCCAAATGCAAGGTCAGAAATTGCAAAAACCCCAGAGGAAATCACAGGCACAACACTCCCCAACACAAATCGCAGCAAGATCCTCTCTGACCGACCTCCAAATTGTTGTAAACTTAACTCACATTCTTGAATTCTTTCTCATGCAGAATTAAGATGATTATTATATGCCATCACACACTTGTGGTCCACCAGCTGCAGGATGTTAATGCCATACCTGATCATCACTGGGCACTTCTGGGAGAGGCCCCAGGTAACGACCCACAGGTTCTCCAGGAGCCCTGGACAGCAGCATCTTGGGCAGAGAGTTGGACATTCCCGGCCTCCATCCACTCCTTCAGGCCTTGGTGGGAGCCAAACACCTCCAGACTGGGCTCCTTGTCAGCTATTAGGCAGGCTTGAAGTGCGGCTGGGTGCCATTCAGCTTAGTGAAGGATTTCCCCAGGATGCCCACAGGATGGTACAGGGTGCAGTGAGGTCAGTCACAAGCCCTTATTCTGACGGAACTGCTGAGGTGAATGGGGTCCAGGACCTCGTGTACAGGCAGGCAGGAACACACTGTTGATGGAGAAGCAATGAGAGTGAAGGATGTGGGGGTGTGTATTTTTCTGAATTATGGTTTCCTCTGGATAAATGCCCAGGATCATACAGTAGCTCTATTTCTAGGTTTTTGAGGCACCTCCATACTGTTCTCCATAGTGGCTACACCCATTCCCATCAACAGTGTAGGAGGGTTCCAAAAGAACTGACTTTGAGAGCTTGTTCTAAACTAAGCACTGTGCTGAGCATTGAGAAATCAGAGGCAAGTGCTCGTCCCTATCTTTAAATTGCTCACTATTTGTAGAAAAGGATAGATATGCAACTGAGAAGCTGTTCTTATTTTCCAAAAGCTCCACTACAATGCTGTGGGATGAAACCTTTTATAAAGGGAAAGTTTCAACCTCAGTAGTATTATAAATGACTTAACAAAGAAGAATAAATGCTTAAATAGCCTTGAAAAATCTAGAGAATGCTTTTTTTTTTAAGAACCCTCATTTTTATGGTCAGGAATTTGGACTTTATTCTGATATACAGTGTTTGTAAAAATGTGGACAAATCACTTGGGCTATTACATAAAGAAGTGATTTCCAGGCCTGGCCTTACAAATGCATCATCAGAATCTCTGCAGCACAGACTAGGAATTTTCAACAGCAGTTAATTTCTAAAGTTAGACAAGCTTATATTTAGTACCAAGGTAACACCAAAGATTTTTGAAGAGGTTTATGGTAACATGAGTTAAATTTTTAATTATCACTTTGGCCTCTCCTCAGTCAACTCTCTTACGCAGCTGTCTTCTAGACTGTCCTCAACTTCCTGGCCATCCTGGGCTTCACAAGCACCAACTTCACTATGGCCTTCAGAAGTCCCCACATCTTCCACCAGGCATCAGACTTCCGAGTCTTAGCCTCAGTTCCTTGAGATCACAGTTTTACTATGTGCATTGATTAAACCATGCAACCAAAGTCCATTCTATCCAGACATTCCATCTTAACCCAGACCTTGATCTTCTTAGCAAGTAAGCATGAAACCTTTGTGAGAGTTGGACTCTAAAGAAAGCTGAGTGCCGAAGAATTGATGCTTTTGAACTGTGGTGTTGGAGAACACTCGTGAGAGTCCCTTGGACTGCAAGGAGATCCAACCAGTCCTTCCTAAAGAAAATCAGTCCTGAATATTCATTGGAAGGACTGATGTTGAAGCTGAAACTCCAATACTTTGGCTACCTGATGCGAAGAACTGACTGATTTGAAATGACCCTGATACTGGGAAAGATTGAAGGTGGGAGGAGAAGAGGATGGCAGAGGATGAGATGGTTGGATGGCATCACAGACTCAATGGGCATGAGTTTGAGTAAACTCCGGGAGCTGGTGATGGACAGGGAGGCCTGGCATGCAGCAGTCCATGGGGTCTCAAAGAGTCAGACACGACTGAGTGACTGAACTAACTGACTGATGAAACCGTTGGCTTGCTACCCAAACGTGTGACTTCATATTTTCTTCCTCTAAAGGTCCATAGTCCTCTTTACAGTTCTGTTGTCAGCAGATAACTTTCACTGTTACCAATAAAATTACTCCTGTGGTGATTTGACATAATTATACATAGGAAGAGTTAAACAAGAATACTTTACATGGATACACAAGGTCAGAAATATTTGACAATAACGTAAGAATTATCAAGAAATAATTTCTATGCCCGGGGACTGAGAGAAGCCCTTTCATAGTTGTATCCTGCTGGAAAGTGCTTTTACCTTTGTTTTTCAGTGCAAAGGGACAGATTTCAGAGTTGCAAGCGTTGAGAACAAAGAGAAGGAACAAGTTATAATAAAACCCTCAGCGAGGAAAGTCTTCAGATAAGCAGACACTAGAAATGCAAACCTCCTTCAATCCCAGAACTGAAGTGGAATGCATAGTAGGTATTAATCAAAGGAAAGAACTCTGCACATACAGTTAATGAAGCTGCTGTGTTATCAACATGAGCCCTGAACTCTGCTAAGAAAGGACTGAATGTCCCTGCTGTTAGGGTGAGACAGGCAGCCAATCACACACACACCTTGGGCCTGGGAACAGACGGGCTTAGAAGACACTCACTGAATGGCTGAAAACCAGAACAAGAAAAGAGATGGTTCCCTAAGGTTTCACCACTTCTTTACTGAAAATGCACTAAAAACTAACACCAGCATGGCTTTAACGTTTAACGTCATCGGTGTACAGTAAGCTCTATGTTGGAAGGGTCATGCAGCATCAGGTGAACTTTACTGTATTATTGTTCACTTGCTAAGTTGTGTCTGACTCCATGGGTTATAGCCCACCAGGCTCCTCTGTCCATGGGGTTTTACAGGCAAGAACACTGGAGTGGGTTGCCATTTCCTTCTCCAGTGCATCTTCTTGGACCACAGATCAAACTCCCTTCTCCTGCATTGCAGGTGGATTCTTTACCACTGAGCCACCAGGGAAGCCGAACTTAACGTTATACACTCTTCCACCTAAAACTTTACTTACTCCAAGTCCTCTTATCATCTTTAAAAAGGTCTTGATTTTAAGATGTTAATGGTATAATTAAAAAATGTATGGCCTTGACAAAGGCAGTAAGACTCTGGTCATGAGGAACAGGGGGCCAGACAGTCCCCGCCCCAGAATCACGTCCTGCTGAGGTCTGAACATTGAGGTTAGTCTTAGCCATTATGTCCACCCTCATAGAGCCTGAAATTCTTCTCAACTGCAAGCTCACTGATTCCAGTTTCCACATAGACTCTCATCATCATTTCAACATAGATACCTGTACAAGGCATTAACCCCTACGCACTCTGGGGCTGTGTTTCCTGGTCTTTCTGGGAAGCCAGAACCTCTGAGAAGCTGATCCAGTAGAACCTCGACATGGGAGGGGCTGAGTTTCCTTCCACGCAGCCTCAACAGAGGCACCGATAAACCCTGGCCCTCAGCCCTCAGGGAGGCTGAGCCACATGGAGGCGTTGGATGGCCTTGTGTACCACACGTGAAGAATTCTTGCGTCAGCAGTGAGGTGACGCAGCCTAAGCTCAGGGGCTTGGGTGGGCTTTAGGGAACCTGGGATGACACACTATTCGGGTCCAGTGTGGACACACTTCACTCATTCACATGCCTTCTGCAGTGGACTTCACAGGAACTGGGATAGCCAGAGTGTGCTATCAAGAGTAATCCGGATGAACGCCAATGAAACAGTCCATTCACCCAAGACACATTTGTTGCATGCCTACTGTGCAGCAGGTGCTGAACTAGGCCCTGGTACCTCGTCCTTTATAGAACATGGTATTTGGAGATGTCTAAAACAATGATTTGTTTTTCCATCTCCATAAATCATGTTGCCTCTGGCTTCTGATTTAAAGACTTCTCGTCTGAGGGAAGTCAGATGCTGCCTAGAAAAAAGAAAATCATTGTTTAGCATTAAATTTAATTTTTGTTTAACTTAAATTTTTTCTTTGAGTCTGTAGCATGAGAATAGTCTTGAAAAGCCCAGGTTTTGTTTAAAGACAAAATACTTTGTTCATTTCCATTTTAAGTATTGAGAACAAAGCTTGGAGGTCTGAGCACAGAGTTTTACTCTACAGAACGGGGAGAATTTGAAGGATTCACAATTCCTATCACAGAATAAGGAAAAACACAAATCCCACTGGCCTCTGGGAAGACACAGTTACAGAAAGAAATTTCAACAAGATAAGAATAGGGTAAAGTCACGGTTTCTCTGGAAGTCAGTGTCCGAACATCCCGAACATGGGCTTAGAGGGGCAGTAGATTTCTGATGATAGAAATTCAACCACAAACACCCAATAGAGCTCGAAGGAGAGTCCCAGAGCAGCAAGCTGGTGTTCTGCCTCCTCTCTGCTGTGTCCAGTGCATTCTGAGGACAGGGAAGAGCGTCATTCACAGGGAGCTGTGCTCAGAGCCAAACGCTTCTCATCTTTCTGAGTGAAGTTAATTGAATAGAACTTTAAAAAATGACTTCCTCGTGGCATTGCTTAATAACTTAATTTCTGTGTCCTTAGATGAGAAAGAGTGCCGCGATCGATAGAACAGTGGTTTCCGGCTGTGCGCTGCATGTCTATGAAGTGTCTGGATCAAGGCCCAGAAACAGCGCTTCCGTCTTTCCCCGCTGCTTGCTCACAACTCGGTGAAGGTTCAGAAGCACCCACGCGCCTGTAGGAAGGACACGAGAGGCAGCTGGAAATTTGAGAACCAGCGTGCCGACTGAAGGATCGAAGTGGTGCAGCGCGAGGGCCCCGACGGCTCAGGCTGAGGACTGGACACTCGACAGCAAGAGGGCCGTGAAGCGCGTGAGTCACGAGGGGCGGGCCAGGCGGCAGGCGGCAGGGGGAGGCGCCGGCACCCTGAACTTCCGGCCACGCGCGCACGCCGCCTTGTCACCGGAAGACACGGCGGGGCCACAGGTCAACACGCTGCCTCAGGTTCGCCGAGCCTGCCTCAACCGAAAGCCATCATCAAGTCCAGCAAAGGGACCCCCGGCCCCCATAGCCCAGGGCACCAAGTTGGGTACCATCTCCCCTACACTTTAACGACAAAAGAAAAAAGAAGAGAGGCAAAGTTCTTGGGAGACCACGTTTTTCAAAAAGAAGTCAGGTTTACAAATGGAGACTCCTAAACTGGAGGAAACAGTCTATTCAAAAGAAAGCATTTTAACTGGAAGACACCAATGTGCCTTTAAGGAACAAGCTTAGAATGTGTTGTTTTGCTGTCGCGGCTGATGCTGCTGTACTTCCTGCTTGTGAGCAGCGATGGGAGTTTCACAAAATACATTAGAAACTAGTTAAAGGCTGGTATTTTATTAGAGGAAAAGAGAGAGGGAGATTCCTGAGTTACTATGAATGAATTTCAGATCTACCACTTACAGGAATGTCTAGTGTCCTTGGCTCTTGACTATACAAGCAGACTTACCAATAAGTCCCTTGGGCTACAAGTAGATCAAACCAGTCATTTCTAAAGGAAATCAACTCTGAATATTCAGTGAAAGGACTGATGCTGAAACTGAAGCTCCAATACTTCAGCTACTTGAGGCAAAGAGCCAACTCACTAGAAAGACCCTGATGCTGGGAAACACTGAAGGCAGGAGGAGAAGGGGACGACGGGATGAGATGGTTGGATGGCGTCACCTCAATGGACATGAGTTTGAGTAAACTCTGGGAGCTGATGACGGACAGGGAGGCCCGGCGTGCTGCAGTCCATGGGGTCATATAAAGTTGGACAGGTCTGAGTGACTGAACCACAGCAACAACCAAAACTTCACACCTCTATTGGTTAATTTCGGGGAGTTCAGGCTCCAGTTAAGAGTGAAACCTCTGGGTTTAACTGAACAAAGAAGTGGGGCTGAGTTGAGAAGCAAAATGGCAGTCAGATTTGAGGGAGCTAAATAGACCCGTTAGATGCGAGTGGGGACGATGATGAGCAGGAGAGAGGCAACAGGCCAGTAACTGAACACCGCCATCAGCCGTGGGGGTACCCTGGCATGCAGTAGGTACCCGTTACATGTGTTTAAAGGAAATGACGGGGCTTCCCAGGTGGTTCAGTGGTAAAGGATCCACCAGCCGATGCAGGAGCCATGGGTCCGATCCCCAGTGTGAGAAGATCCCACACGCCACGGGGCAGCTAAACTCATGGGTCACAACCATTGAGTGGGCGCTCCAGAGCACGGGGGCCACGACTGCTGAGCCCAGGGCCGCAGCTACTGATCCTGTGTGCCCTGGAGCCCGCCCCACAGCTCGAGGAGCCGCCGCAGGGAGAAGCCCGCACACAGCTAGAGGGTATCCCTCACCGGCCGCCACCAGAGAAAGGCCCCCACAGCAACAGAGACCCAGCATGGCCAAAAACAAACAACCAATCAACTAACTAAACACGTTCTTTAAAAATTCTTAAAAATTAATAAATGAGTCCTAAGTAGGCAGTAAGAGTGTAGAATCATCACCCAAGTTCTAGAGTGAAAACACCTGGGACTTTTATGGACAACTTGTAAGCTCACGGATAATTTGAGGGGACGCGAAACCAGAAGAGTTAATACCCAGGCCAGCCACCTTCACCCACATCCACTTTCCATGGGCCACATGCTTGCTGCACAATGTGAGGTCCTAGTCATGGGGAAGTGTAGTCTCCCACAACCATCCTCTTGATGCTGTATTTTTCCCAATAAATTCGTGGCTGAACCTGGGCCAGGAATCCAGCACATTCTGGTAAACTGTTCCGGTTCCCAGTTCTATATTCCTGGAGGAGTCCGTGAGACGCTGAGTCTATGCTTGGCTCTGACAGTGAAAGTGAAAGTCGCTCAGGTGTGTCCAACTCTTTGCAATGCCATGGACTATACAGCCCACGGAATTCTCTAGGCCAGAATACTGGAGTGGGTAGCCTTTTCCTTCTCCAAGGGATCTTCTCCAGGGGATCAAACCCAGGTCTCCCACATTGAAGGCAGATTCTTTATCAGCTGAGCCACAAAGGAAGCCCAAGAATACTGGAGTGGGTAGCCTATCCCTTCTCCAGGGGATCTACCCAACCCAGGAATCGAACCAGGGTCTCCTGCATTGCAGGCGGATTCTTTACCAACTGAGCTATGAGGGAAGCCCTGGCAGTGAACACTGTGATAAATCCTGACTGGGGAAGCAACAGGATTCCCAAGGCCTTTGGATTATGAACCTCATCACCTTGAAGCACATCCTCCTGGTTTCAGCCCTGGCTGCAAGCATGCTTATAACTGGAAGACAGCCAGGGCCATTCCCAGGCTCCAAAACAGCGTAAATCAACAGACAGGAAAGGGAGTCTTTGTATTACTCCTAGGCCAGAAATTACCTCCTCAGAAGCTTTCTGCAGTTAATGGCCCTAGAAGTTGCAGGAAAGAAAGAAAGATGGAAACTGTGGTACGAAGGCTATACTCTTCCCCCCACACCCTTATTTTATTCTGATGAACCCACAGAGAAATGAGTTAATTACTCCATGGGGTTGTCCTGCTTGGGAAAAAAGCATTTCCTGGTTTACTGGCACAAACTGTAGCCAAGAGCTCAGACAGAGTGGGTGAGACTTGAATTAACATCTACTCCATTCAAAATCTTCTGTGCCAGGCTTTCTGCTACAATGTGTCTGAAAATTCAGATCCTGCCTGGCATTAGTTAAGTATGAAAAGAATGTACAGGCTTTTATTTAAAGTCTTCTTTGCAAGGTTTCTTTTTTTCAGTTTTGATTTTGCATTTTGGGGGGCCAAAAGGTGTTTACATTCAGTGTTAGGTAAGTGATTTAGAGAAAGAAAAGCTGGTAATTAAAGCAACTGATTTAGAGTTGGAGATCCTCCGAGGAAAACAGCTCATAATGTCTGAGAACCCTGAGGAATGGAGCTGCCTGCCCAGTCTCATCTTTCAAGTAGAACTGACTGTGTGTTGAGGCAATTAAAGCTTTGCCTCTGATAAGAAGCTAGAAAAAAGGCTGAGACCAGCGATAAGCAGCCCGAGCTACAGGAGTGTCCAAGGGCGCTGCTGTCTGCAGAGGGAAGTCCCTGTCAGGAGGAGCCCTGGAAGAGCGTGGCCGGTTGAGAAGCACGCAGGTGGGAGCTCAGTGGTCCAGGTCCGTTCCAGCCACAGGCTTCCATCCCTGGAATGGCATGTCTTCTGCCTCAGTTTCCACACCCACAAAGTGAGGGGACTGAATCCTACAGCCCTTGAAGCCTCATGCTCGGAGTCCATAAAGCCTGAGTGGTGAGTGTACCATGCTTAATACAGGTGCTTTCTCACGAGAGACTGCAGCACTCTGAGTACCATTAATTAGAGATTTAATTAATAGCACTCATTTTTCCTAGAATGATATTTTGGTAAAAACAAATGCATTGTTGAATTTTCTCTTGTCTCTGTTACCCAAAGCTAAGAAATTAAGAGCTGCTAATGCCTCGTCTTCACCATCTGGGTTTTCTGGGACAGTGCCAACTTTATGGATTATATTGAATCACTCACTCCCATCATGATTTGAAATTTCTAGCATTTTGTCATCCAAGCAATATCTCCCCGATTGCCACTTGCTGCCTAATGTGGCACAACATTACTGTCAGAGATGTTTTCAGCTTTTTGCCTTGCAAAATGTGTTCCTGGCACCTGTACCAATGGAGACGTTCTGTCCACAGGGGCGACAGAAATCAAAAGACATGGGAGCAATACATAATTTATGCCCATAGGAATGTGAAAAATGCAGCACTGTGTTTATTTCTGCTCAACATTGAATAAAATAGATGCGACCAAACTGCTCCTTTGACCTCTTCAATGTATAGGTCCTAGGAAGTTTAATATTTTGTTTCCAAGTGAGTTGGATCAATTGTCCCTACATGTTTTTTTGTTGTTGTTGTTGTTGTTTTAATTTTATCGGAGTATAGCTGCTTTACAATGTTATGTTAGTTTCAGGTATTCCGCAAACTGAATCAGTTATACACACGCATATACCCACTCTTCTTTAGATTAGTTTCCCACATAGGCCATTATAGAGTATTGAGTAGAGTTCCCTGAGTTATGCAGTAGGTTCTCATTAGTCATCTGTTTTATACATTAATATCAGTAATGTATATATGTCAATCCTAATCTTTTAATTCATCCTCTTTCCCGTCTTGGCTCCCATATGCTTATTCACAATTTCTTTTATCTCTACTTCTGTTTTGCATATAAGATCATACACACTGACAGATGAATGGATAAAGAAGATGTGATACATATATACAATGGAATATTACTCACCCATGGAAATGAAAAAAACTGGGTCATTTGTAGAGACGTGGATGGACCTAGAGACTGTCATATAGGGTGAAGCAAGTCAGAAAGAAAAAATATCATATATTAACACATAGATATGGAATCTAGAAAAATGGGATGGATGAACCTATTTATAGGGCAGGAATAGAGATGCAGATATAAGGAACAGATGTGTGGATGTGGTGGGGGGGGGGGCGGGAAGGGAGGGGTGGGATGAAGAGAGGGTAGACTTGACATACATCCACTGCCGTGTGTAAAGCAGATCGCTCGTGGGAAGCTGCTGTAGCGCCCCGGGCATTCAGCCCAGAGCCGTGTGATGACCTCGAGGGACATGGAGTGACAGGGAGACCCACGAGGGAGGGGGTGTGTGTATGCAGGGGGCTGCCTCACTTTGTTGTACGGCAGAAGCTAACACCACATTGCAAAACAATTGTACTCCAATTAAAAAAAAAAAACAAGTGTTGACACTTCCCACCACTGCAGGATGATCCTTATTTGTCTTATTTGTCTCTGAATTTCACTGTGCCCTTTTCCAGATGGAAAGTTAACAGCCCCTTCTTGTGGTCCATCCTTACAAGATCTGCCGTAACAGAACTGGGCGGTTCCTTAGTCACCCAGAGACATTCATTTTGCCAATCAGTTTTGTTAGTTCCAGTATTAGTTTCCTGGAGCCACAGTAGCCAGTTTCCACAAACAGGGCGACTTAAAACAGTCAAGAGGGGAGGAGTCCCGAATCAGGGATAAGCAGGGCCGTGCTCCGAAGAGTCCCTCCCTGCTTCTGGTGACCCCTGCTG